AACAATGAACAAGCACTGATTAGCAATACAATGGTAAATTATTGTTTGTAATAGACTTTGAAAGATTTGATTATATAAATTAAAATCTTACAAATTATTCATGAAGACGTGTCATGAATTTCCCAGCCAAATTCATGGAATTTAGACCTATTTAAGGCCATTGCATATTTTGCAGTTGCTCTATGACCATTACCTAAACTAAAATTATTTTTTCGTGGATTGCAATTCTATTTGATAACAGACATGTTCTCACAAGCTTGGCCCCTCAAAGATTTTGTAATGAAAGTAAATAAACTTGTAAATGGGCAATGCATAACTATTTGAATATGCTGGCTCTATTTGGTTCATCACTTCTCTGATGATCATTCATATCAAAAATGAGTTTTTTTTTTTTTTTTGGGTTCATTTGCCTCGAACTTCTTTGAGATAATGAGAATTAAGTTATAGCCCCATTTCATACAAAAAAAGATTTTGTGGCAATGTTTAAAATAATAATTTGATTATTGTTATGTGACTATAAATAACATGTGCTTCTAATTTTTTAATATTTATTTTGGTTGTCATGATTACTCCTTACAATTCACATTGTGAAATTTTTGCAATCATGGGTGCAATTGCTGACATAGAGGTGTGAGCCCTGTGAAGCATCTTGAATCATCCGTTTTATTACCATCACAAAATAACAGGAAATATAATCAATTGGAGTGAGCCCTCCACACCGCACACATCTCTTTTATTGTCTCGGCAATTATTTTTGGTAGTTACTGTCATTTTCTCACTGTAAGATTAGATTGATTAGAGGTAGAGAGGTGTCTTTGTTCACTTTTTGATTCTGTGCTTATTCTCTGTCCTACCATTAGCAATTGGGCCCGCCCTTAGACATATATGGCTGGCAGTATGCGGTGGTTGTGCGGTAGGGGCCTGGTTTACCACTAGCCTATGTCGCCCCCACTTGCAATACTTGTTTTTTATGCAAACAAAATACTATCATTGGTTGAATTGTAGAAGATAAATTGATCATTGGTTGTGTATGAAATTTCATTAGATTTTGATGTTTGATTCACTCCATGGAAAAACCTGTTTGCATTATGCTGCTTTCTATGGCCATCTAGATTGCCTACAAGCTATTCTTTCTGCTACCCTTTCCACCTCTGTTGCACATTCCTGGTGACCCTCTCTCTCTCTCTCTGCACACACACACTCATATATGCTTGTGTGTAGAGAATATCCATGAAGTTGCTAAAGCTGTGGTTGTTTTGTTTGGTTTGATTTGGAGTTGATGGCAGGGAATTTGCAAGGTTTGTGAATATAAGAGAATAAAAATGGAGCAACCCAATTGCACTTGGCAGCCCGACAAGGATGGCCGGGGTGCGTTCATATGTTGTTAGACAGTGGGGCTCTTGTTTGTGCATCTTCTAGAGGATATGGGTAAAACTCTCTTATTGAAGGTTTTCTAGTGTAATGTCATAGCACTCTTAATTTGTCATTAATATTTATAAGAGTCCTGTTTGCAGTTTCCCTGGGATTATATCACTTCATTTTGCAGTTCGTGGGGGTTCATTGGATTGTGTTCGGGAATTACTTGCTTGGGGGGCTGATAGACTTCATAGAGATTCATCTGGGTAAATTTATTTTTAACTTTTTATTTTTAATTTTTTAATTTTTTAGTTTTTAATTTTTTTAGTTTTTCTTTCTTCCTGACTTTTAGAAAGAACTATATTTATTGATGCAGACCAGATCCACTGACATACGAGAGTAGGTGATTTCAAGGTCTTTGATCTGAAATTAGTTTTGAGTACTCAATATGGAATTAATGTTATAGCAGTGTCTGAACCCCCTTGTTATTCCCTTTCTATGGAGTTGAATGTGCTACAATCTACGTATTTCTAGTGTGGTTAAACAATATTAGCCTTCATGCTCAATCATAACGAAAATCGAGAGTAATTGGTTCCTATTGAGATTGTTGACGATGACATGATGGCATTAAAGAATTTGGATTGAGGCTTTGACAAGTATGGTTTAACAAAAGATATGGTTGACACCTAAGAAAGAGCAACTTCAGTGGGCTTGTATAATGGTTGCTATTGCCAAATTATATGGTGCCTGCACTAAGAAATCCTCTCTAGTGGCCTGCCAAAAGGTCTGTTAAAAACTTATTTCCAAATCTTGTGCATCATTTGTGCAACTCAACTTACCCAAGAGAGGGTTTTGATCCAATGGTCTGGATGTGAGACATCCATTGGACAAATTAAGCAATGATCTAGATGTGCCAAAATGGCATTTGCACCATTGGAACAACATTGCTAAAAAATGACATTTTGACATTTTCCTTTTGGCAATCACCATTGGAGTTCCACTGAACTTTTGACATAGTTTCACTTGAAATTTTTTTTTGCTACTTTTTTGTTTTTAATACTTCCAATATTATGGGAAGTTTGCTCTATTTGTATTTTAAATGAGTGGAGACATTAGCTTCGAATGTTTTGTGAATGAACGATTGTTACCAGCTGATATTTGGCAGGAGGATACCTTACATGGTTGCTTTGAGGCAAAGCATGCAGCATGTGCAGCATTATTGAACCCGTCAGCTCCAGATCCTTCATATGGCCATCTCTTTCTCCATGTTGCATCAGTTTGCTGATCTGCTATACTAATTTGCTATTCTTCTGGTGCTGCTGTGATGTTGCTGCTGTTGCTGAGATGCTGTGGTGATGCTGCTGTGATGGTGATTGTTACGATGAGGTGCTGCGGTGTTGTTGTTGGATGTTTGCTGGTGTTGTTGATGTTTGGAAGGGTGTAGGACTTTTTGTCCAATCTGTAATAGATTAGGTTTTCATTAATGGGGGTTGTCATTAGGTGTAAGTTCGGGCAACTGCTGGTGTTTTGGATGGAAGGGTATGGAGGGGTATTTTGTGTGATTTCATATCCATGTTATTAGTTTGTTATAGTGGTGCCTGAGGGATGCCTCTTGTAAAACTGTAAATCTTTTAAAAAATTATAAATGAGTTTGAATTATTTTTGCCGTTGTAAATTTGTCGTTGTTAAAAAGTGAAGCTTTCTCGACAAATAACTTGTCGGTAAATGTGTAGCCAAAAGTTTATTTTTGTCCACTCATATTGTGTTGCTAAAAGTGTATTTTTTGCCAATGTCAATTTGTCGTTGCCAAAACTAAAGCTTTATCGACAATCAAATCGTTGGCAAATGGCAACATTTACCGACGTAAATGTGTCGCTAAAAGTTACTTTTCCCCACTCATATTGTGTTGGTAGAAGTGTATTTTTTGCCAATGTCAATTTGTCGTTGCCAAAAGTAAAGCTTTAGCGACAAACAAATCGTCGGCAAATGGCAACATTTACCGACTTAAATGTGTCGCCAAAAGTTTACTTTTGCCGACGCATATGTTGTTGCTAAAAGTATATTTTTTGCCCATGCAAATTTGTGTCGCGAAAAGTGTCACACAATTATCATATTTGAATGACTTTTACCAACGCAAGGTAAATTGCCGACGATGGATGGAGGCTTTTAGCGACGACTATGTTCGTCGCTAAAGGTATTACTTTTACCAACGCAATGATCATTTCGTCGGCAAAATCTTTTGCCAACTCACTTTTGCCTACGGGTTGCCAACGTAGCTTTGTGTGTCGGCAAAACTCTTTGCCAACGAATTTTCCCTTTTAGCAACATATTTTGTTGCGTTGCGAAAAATGCAATTTCTTGTAGTGTATATAAGTGGGGCACTATGTACTCAAATCTCCTCTTTAGCATTCTATTTGGCTGATTCTAACTCAAGAAAAGAGGGAGGGCCGGCTAGAGAGAGAGAGAGAGAGGGAATAATTGGAGTTTGATCATTGAAGCTTGAAAACCTTGAAGATTAAGCTCAAGAATTGGCTAGAGCTTGGGTGTTTGAGGCTCCTAGGTGAGTAATCAACCCTTGACTCATGGATTTTAGTTTGTAATTCGTAGACTCCAAGTTGAATGATGAAAAAGAACATGAGTTAAGTTGGTTTTGTTGAATTGGAAGCCAATATGTACATGCATGTAAGAAATTGCTTTGAGTTTGCATATTTGAGCATGAATTACACGACTCATGTTGAATTTCGATTAAAGTCCATGTATTTAATCATCTCTTCACCAACTAAGCTGAGAATAATGGGTATCTCCCACATGCATGTGCAAATCATGGAGGTGTGAGCGTTGAATATTTGAATTTAATATGTTGGTGATGAATTTAGGTTAATTTGAGTAATGCATGTAAGTAATTCTTGGAATTGAGCTTCATAATGTTGTAATTTGGTGTTTATACCATGTTGGTATATGTATATGTGAAGTTTGAGCCAAAATCATGCATTTAGAGCCTTTGAATATCAAGTTGAAGCTTAAGAACATGTTCGGGAAAATCCAGCATATTTGATGTCCGCTTGAGCGGGAAAACCGCCACTCGAGCGTAAAATTCGGGCTCCCAGTATTTTTTACAGACATGGTGTCCGCTCGAGCGGAGAAGTTCACGCTCGAGCGGGGAGCCATGTAGTGAGGCCTTCCATTCGAGCGCCAGTATTCACGATCGAGTGTAAAAATGACATAACCAGTACTTTTGCAGACATGTTGGGTCCGTTCGAGCGAGGGAAGTCCACGCTCGAGCGGGGACCCTTGTTTCTGAAATTTTGAAAATGCATTCTGTGTTTCGTTTTCCGTTCTCTTTCACTTCTGAGTACTCTTAGACATGCATTGAGCATTATGAATGAATTAAAAGGGGTAAGAAAGAAGCCTAAAGAGGAATATATGAATTAAGAACGGATTGAATCGTTTGTGACCCATATGTGTTATGTGATGTGTAGGGTCAAGCTCCGGGGCAAACCAACCAACCGATCACTGTGAGTAATATCTTAATAAAGATATTTTGAAATATATCATTTGTCCAATTACTTATCTCTCTATAAGTTTTATAAGTTTGTCGCTTCGAATTGTGGACAAATGTTTGCTATGCCATACGGTTGGGCCTAAGGCCGCTTGCTATAAGTGAATGGGCCAAAGGCCAGTTTGACATGAAAGAATGAATGGGCCAAAGGCCAGTTGGACATGAATGAATGAATGGGCTGAAGGCCAGTTTGACAAGAAGGAATGAATGAATGGGCCAAAGGCCAGTGTGACACGAACGAAATGGGCCTGAGGCCGTATGATGTGTTTGGAACCGCAGCTACTTGACATATATATATATATATATGCTAAATAGAAATACGAATTGGGCCCAAGGCCATTAGAAGTACGTTGTTCTAAATACCGTTTGTGTAACTTCTTTATTTGATGTTATTCACTGGGCTTTCGTTCACGCTCATTCATGTGTTTGTAGGTGAGCCAAGAGAGGTCCAAACCCAACCTCAGTGAAGTCTGTGTGGAACAACCAAGGTTTTGGAGATTCAGCCCTTGCGTCTCACGCACAAGATCGGTCTTTGCCATTTTGCTATTTTGTTTATTTTGTCTTGTTGGCAAGGACTTTGGTTTATATTTGTATATAGTTTTGATTGGCTGACCTAGACTTAGTTGATCCTGTCTGTACAGAACTTTATGTCACTGTATTTTGATATGAGTTATTAGTATGTACATGTATAGTCTGTTATGATGTGCCATGTAAGCACAGTTCTATGGACAAAGTTTTAAATTTTGCTTCTGTTTGGCCCCTTTACTCTGATGAGTTATGTCTGAAATGGTTTGAGGCCGTAGGTAATCCCTCGATTACGGGCCGGTTATGTCCTTAACCCATAGGGGCAGGTTCGGGTCATGACAGAGTGGTATCAAAGCACGAGTTAATAACTCACACACTTGTCCAAAGGAGCAATAAGCGTCTAGAAAAGGTCTAGGATGCATTCATGTGATAAATATGGATTTGGAAGCATCAAGAATATGCTTAAATGCTTAATGTGAACGATTATATGCCATAAGTTTGTGATTTGCTTGCATTGCAAATTATTTGAATATGTATACTCCTTAATATATGCATACTTGTGAATTTTTTGTATAAAGTATAATGCAAGTTTAATCAGATGATGAGAACCAGAGGTGATGAGATAGAAGAGTCCTCTACTGCCAAAATAGATAGAATTGAGAGATTAATTCAGGATATGGCAGAAACATTGAGGCAATAACAAGAGTGGCAACAACAGTGGCAGCAACCACATCCTCCACCTCCACATCCGGCACCACCCGTGCCAGATAATCAGAATAATGATCGGATAATAGCTCTTACCAAAGAATTTAAGAAAATGAAACCACCACAGTTCCACGGTGGATTGGATCCATTGAAAGCCGAAGCATGGGTCCTTGGCATCGAAAAGCTGTTTGAAGTGTTTCCGTGTTCGGAGATGCAGAAAGTGCTTCTAGCCACCTTTATGCTAGACGACGAGGCAAGAAGATGGTGGATGTTAATGCGTGAAAATCATGAGGATGTTGACTAGGCAAAATTTTTAGAAATTTTCTATGACAAGTACTTCCCAAAATGTGTCCGGGACAGGAAAGTGTCAGAGTTCATGGAACTTAGGCAAGACAGTATGATTGTAGTTAAGTATGAGGCCAAATTCACTGAATTGGCCAGGTTTGCACCACATGTGATTGATACTGATTATAAGAAAGCGAGGCACTTTGAAGGTGGGCTGGGCTTCGAAGCGACATTTTGGAAAGAGTGAATGTCTTGAAGCTAGAAACCTATATTAGGGTGCCAGACCGGGCCATAATATCAGAAGCTAATATAGTTAGACAGACTAAATCAATGACAGACTGGAAAGGCAACAAAAGGCAAGGCTTCTTTTCAAAGAAAAAATTTTTGAAAAAGCAAAACACGGGCTCCTCAAACACTTCGAATTCTTCCCGAGACACATCTCCCATGTGCAATATTTGTAGCAAAAGGCACCGTGGGGTTTGTTACTGTGCGTCAGGAGCCTGTTTCAAATGTGGTAAACAAGGGCACATGGCCCGAGATTGTAATCAGAACAGTGGGAAGCTAGCTGTTAGCTTAACTGCATTGATCCCGAAGCTGGGAAATACCATGAGATTTACTACCACCGGAGATACTGTAAGGCAAGGAAGAGCTTTTGCGCTTGTTCCGGGCGATACACGGAATGCCAACGCAGTTGTCTCAGGTACTATTTCTATATGTAATCAGGATGCTTTTGTGTTAATTGACTCCGGATCAACACACTCTTTTGTGACATGTGCATTTGCATCTAGACTGAGTAGACCTCTAGAATTATTGCCATATCTGCTATGTGTATCTGCTCCATTCGGAAAATTTGTGTTGTGTGAATCTGTATATCGTTTTTGTGACATGCGTGTTGGGAATGCCATTTTATATGTGGACTTGTTACCCCTGAACTTTAGGCATTTTGATATAATTCTGGGCATGGACTGGTTAACTAAATATTGTGTCACCATTGATTGTGTGACAAAACAGGTTGTGTTTAGACCACCAGAACATGAGGAAATTGTGTTTGTGGGTAACGGGGTAGTACCTCCACCTTATTTAATATCTGTAATGAAGGCATGCAAACTGATTAGGAAGGGGTACCAGGGTTATTTGTGTTATGTGTTGTCTGAACAATCTGTAAATGTTGAATTAAATGATATCCCTATTGTTAGAGAATTGGTAGACAGGGAGATAGAGTTTACAATCGAGATTATGCCAGGCACCCAGCCCATTTCCAAAACTCCCTACAGAATGGCTACTGCCGAAATGAAAGAGTTGAAAGAACAGTTGCAAGACCTGCTTGACAAGGGGTTTATCCGACCTAGCACTTCACATTGGGGTGCACCGGTGTTGTTTGTGAAAAAGAAGGATGAAACTTTGTGTTTGTGTATCGACTACCGGGAATTGAACAAGGTAACAATAAAGAACAAATATCCCCTACCCCGTGTTTGATCAGTTACAGGGATCACAAGTGTTTTCCAAGACTGATTTGAGATCCGGGTAC